GGAGCCCAATGGCCTATAGATAACGGTTTCAAAAAAGGCTGACAAATAAGCAAGCACACTTACCGATTTCCGGAGGTAGGGTTGACCACGGGGTACCTGTCAGGTGATAAGTGATGTGCATGTAAGTAGTGTATAGTAGTGTGTACAATGTGTAACCTGACATCCCCGCTGAAGACGGACTGCAGGGGCGTACACCAATTGAGAACCTCTGCTTCTATTTTCACTATATTAGTTTATACATAGTACATTTAATTAACTTCAAATTCAACGAAATCAACGTTAATCGACATTTAAACAAGTGACACGCTGCACAACTTAAGGACGGTCGGTCAAGGTTCAAAGTCCCAGGTTCACTTAACACAAAATTACAAACACGAGAACGAACGCGGTCTCTTCTCGAGGCACAAAGTTCAGCGTTCTCCCAACAAATAAAGTCTTATCACGCTATCAAGTGACGCACAAATAACTCGTCGATGCAAATATTCAAGACGACGCGCACAATTAAAAAAAAATTCAACTAGACCCAAATATTCAATAATAAATTCAAGACGACGCGCACAATTAACCCAAATTTTAGGCCTTCAAATCAAAACACCGACCGCGTTCAACCTTCTAACGGTCACAAGCAATACTCAAAACGGTTACAACAATAACTATATGATATTGGCCTCGTTATCAAGAAAAACAAATTAAGATAACACCGTAGTAGGCGTGCGATCGCGCAACAACGGTTATTCTATCCTAGTAGACAGAGCCACGGCGTTCAAATCACTGACTTCGCCCACGCGTCGGGTGACTGGGAAGCGGCACACGCCCCCCCCCCCCCCCGGCGACGTTTACCTCACCTCGACACCATCGGGTGAAGCGCCGAGCGCGCGCCATTAGATGCAAATTTCAAATGCCCATGTTTGGGCCTAAACAGTCACTATTATAATATTATCTGAATTCTGAACCATGCCAATTATAATAACGCATTCGAAGTTTTTGAAAACATAAAAGTATGGAATTAGCACGAAGATAAGGCAAATAATTCAACCCAAAACACTCCACTGATGATTAACCTAATTATTTAAGCAACTTACTTTACCATCGCTGGTTACGCATTCAGTTTAGTAAACTGTGAAAATAGTCAAAATAATTAAATACCATTATGTCACATCAGTCTTCCTACCGGGCTGAAACGGTCGACAAATTGAAAGAATAAACTATAATAGCAATTCGCCAATCGACATTGTTGTCGATAGCATACGTTAGTGGATCTGAACAAGCACATCACTAACTCATCGCAAGATACAGTGGCCGTACTACACGATGCATCTCCATAAATAAAGTATAGTTTTCTCATATATACATTGCTTGTTCGGTCACTTAGGGACATACATAAGTAGTGGTTAAGGAGCTATGTATTTACTACAAAATAGTACAGTCGCAGTGATATTTGAAAAAAAAAATAACGCATTAAGAGCAAGGAATATTTTACGATTTGTTGTTTTCATGATTTTAAAGATAAATATAGTAAAATACTTGTTCTTACATATGGTAAGTGATTCCATGATTTACAAAGATTTTGTTTTGGTTTCAGTTTTTACAAGAAACCACTGAACAACACGGCATTCTGATATTGTTTCACGATTACGGTTGAAAGCACACTAATACGCGGAGACGGCCGTTTGAATAGAACTTGAGCATTTTGATCATAGCGCGCGGACACAGACACTCTTGCCACTTGCCTCTTTTTAATATTTCTATGTATAATACATTAGAAATTTATACAATGTATAAATTATATTTCCCCGTGTAGTGGCGGGTAAGAATACTAACTACCCCATATCTTCCCGTGGGGTACGTAAGAGGCGACAGAGGGAAACTGAGGCAGAGGATGGGCAGCAGCACCTTTCTGATCTTGAACAGCAAAATAACAATAAAAAACTGCGGTTGCCAACCCGTTCGCCAAGCGTGGCAACTATGGCAATATACCCCCCTATGACGAGAGTAACAAAGAGACGGCCCCCCGGCCCCGGCGGCCCCGCTATTCTTGGCTACGGTGGCGACCATGGTAACGGCGGGGCAGGGGGTGCTAAGAATCTCCCGTGGAGGTTCGGTTGCCACCTACGACGACTCGACCTGGCAACTTATAACGCACACACCCTGAGGACTGACGAGAAGATCCTGGAGATGGAAGAAGAGATAGACAAGTTTCGCTGGAATATCATAGGATTATCCGCGGTCCGAAGAGAGGGGTAGGACACGGTAATCCTCGAATTCGGCAACTTGTTCTATCACCGGGAGGGCGACCATCTGTCCCAAGGAGGTGTCGGATTTATCGCCCACAAGTCTCTCGTTAACAACGTTGTAAAGATTGGGAGTGTGTCGACGAGGGTTGCGTACCTTATATTCAGAATCACCAGTTGGTATTCGCTGAAGGTCATACAGGTTTACGCACCATCCTCGGCATACCCCGATGAGGAGGTGGAGGAAATGTATGAGGATATCTCTAGAGCCATGCATTCCTCAAAACCCACTATACAGTGATAATGGGAGACTTCAACGCAAAACTAGGCACAAGAGAGAACGGTGAGCTGAAAGTAGGGAAATTCGGTATAGGGCAACGGAACCCAAGGTTCCAGCAGCTGGCCGACTTCATGGAGAAAGAGGGACACTTTATGATGAACTCTTTCTTCCAGAAGCGGCCCCACAGGAAGTGGACCTGGTCGAGCCCCGACAGTTCGACAAAAAATGAGATTGACTTCATTATGACGACCAGTCGACAACTGTTCAGTGATGTCTCAGTGATCGCGAGGGTGAAAACCGGCAGCGATCACTGAATGGTGAGAGGTACACTGAACCTAAACGTTAAGTTGGAGAGGTCACGTCTCATGAAGTCAACGCTCTGTCATCCTCGTGCTCTAATCCAAAGTCCCGAAACCTTTCAGCTCGAGGTACGAAACCGTCTTCAGTGCCTAGAAGGTTGCAATGCAGTGGACGATATGAATGACAAGCTTGTGGAAACTGTCCATGCGGTCGGAGCTAAGTTTTGCAAGACCCGCCGCAGAAGAAGACAAAAACTCTCCGATCACACTCTTAATCTCATGGCTGTTAGACGGGATATGAAGCTGCAGTCTTCAGTAGAATTGACAGCATACAGGCAACTGAACAGACAGATCTCCAAGTGCATGCGGTGGGACTTACGCAACTAATACTGCTCGTATTGAAGAAGCGATCGAGCGGAACCAGGGCTCAAAAGTCTTTGCTAGAGATCTGTCTGAGATGATTTAAACAATGACCTATTTTTTTATAGGATAAAGTTGACCAGCGAGCACACGGTCCACCTGATAGTAAGTGGTTGCTGTGGCTCCTAGACATCTAACAACTATCCTCGTTTGCGAATCAACATGTAGATGCGTTGTCACCCGTGAGAACTAAGATGGTATGCCCCATTTCCAGTAAAAAGGGTCTCCGGTTCTCTACATACGAAACAGCAACGCCAAACTGCTATTTTACGCTGGTATACTGTGAGAGCGTGGTCCTTCCCCGGTCGAGCCGACCCATTCGTGCTACAACTACACAATTAATGTAGCTGCAGCATGGTTCTACCACGTACAAAAGTTATAAGCTTTTAACCAATGTTCAGTAATACATAAAATATGAATATTGTTGCTATTTAAGAACAATTCAATTTCGAGCTCTTTGCCTATCATGCCTTGTATATTTTGATGCGATTTGAACAAATATCAAGTTTAAATTATGATTACATGAAAAGTTATTCATTAGCCGCGTACTGATTGAGGCAAATCCTCGGTAAAATTAAGTAATAATTTCTATCTTTACAGAATGCAAGTCTGGATAATACTCGAAATGATGACGGTCATAACGAAGAAAGAAATGAAACTTCAAACTCGACGATAACGGAAGGACCTAAACAAAAGTCAACTAGACCCAAAAAGAGATCCAAAATGAACGAAAGTGATGATCTTACTGATAACGCCATATCTGAAGCATTAATACTTTTACAACAATGTGCAAGCGATAATATATCGGAAAAAAATTATCCCTATAATGTTTATGGCCAATATATAGGAAATGAGTTGAGAAAATATGATAAAATTACATTAGCATACGTAAAAAATGCAATAAATAAAATTATCTTTGATGCAGACATGGGAGCATACAGTGGTTATGGTTATTATACTCAATCATATGGTCAACACGACACGACAATTTAAGATATATGTCTCATCCCTCTTCCTCATCGACGCCATCTACATATTCGATGCCTGCTGCCTCACCAATGCCTTCTACTTCACCGATGCCTCTTGCCTCGCCCATGCCTCCTACCTCACTGATGCCTCCTATCTCACCGATGCCTCCTGCCTCATCGATGCCTCCTGCCTCATCGACGCCTCCTGCCTCATCGATGCCTCCTGCCTCATCGATGCCTCCTGCCTCATCGATGCCTCCTGCCTCATCGATGCGTACTGCCTCATTGATGTCTCCTGCCTCATCGGTTTCGGTAGGGCTAGAACCCAGATCTGTAAAGCCAGCTATAAAAAAAATCTGACAGCTTGCGACTTATTTATCAAAGAGTATAGATATTAATTTATCTATGGTTCTGACTAATTTTGTCCAATAAAATGTCAAGGTCTGAGAGGTTAAAATTTAACCTATACAATATTAATATTAAACAAAAACTTGCTACATATATATTTATCTATGAACAAAAACAATAAACACCGCTAATAGTAGGAGTGTATTTTGTATCAAATCAAATTGAAATCGACTTCAAACTTCATTATTTGTGTCAAAGCGTATAGTAGTAGGAGAATCAGTGTCATGAACTAATGAAAACGGAGTATTTTGTGTGATCTGTGAATATGAAATTATCAATTTAATAATAATAAAATACAAATTATCTTAGGAACTTATGAAGTAGGTACTAGGGCAGCGAAGAGCATTGAATCACTAGGTCCGTTTCTTTTGCTAGATCAGATATAAGCTATAGTATGGCAGAACCTATTGATAAAAATGCAGCGCAAGCTGTCCTAAATTTTTTGAAAACTAATGTTCCAAAATCGGACGTTGCCTCAGTAGAGGCTGAATTAAAAAAGGATTTTATATTTGCTAAAAAGAAAGGTAAAGAGTCAAAGAAGAAAAAGAAAACCAAAAAGAAGTCTAGAACATTAACTAGGAAGGAGAAAAAGAATCTAGGATTTTTTACTATTCCAAGGAATAGTGTTAAATATGATGATGTCAGGCCTATGAATGAAATATGGGTAGACTATATCACCGAATTACTTGAATTAGATAAGTCTGTCCCAGACTGTAGTAGCAAGAACTGGGAACAATTTACACAAACACTGTACAGAGCAGATTTTCATGGCAGTTTCTTACAAATAGTTAGATCAAAATGTCCAAGCTATGTTGGTAAAAAGGGTATTTGCATCATGGACACTAGAAATACTTTTAAAATTGTTTCAATGGATAATGTGGTCACAACAATTCCTAAACGGGAGTGTGTTTTTGACATGTACCTTGGAAAAATTAAAATAACTTTATTTGGAAAACATCTCTGTATAAGACCTGCTGAAAGGTCTACAAAAAAAATCAAAAGTCTTTTGCATCCTGATTTATAGTAAACTTGTAATCTTCATATTTTAGTTTTATTTAGTTTTTATGTTGTTATAATATATACATATTATTGTTAATAATTTCTTTTATAAATATGTATATATAAAATAATCATTAGTTTTTTTTTCTTCTAATTCCAATTTTTGATAATGTTTATTAGTAACATATTTTCTAATTTTCCTGTTCTATTTTTACATCTATATGGTGTTATTGAAACTCATTAAGAAAACATTTGAGCTGCAAGAAATTGGAAGAATAGGTTTGTAAAAGTCTATTGTGATTTAGCTGAGCCTGAACAACTGAGCCAAACGAGAGTGACAACTGTAGCTTGGAGTGATAATACAAATAAAATATGTTATGAAAGATTGTGTTAGTACCGTAATGCTAGTCTAGTAATATAAAAATGTCATTTTTACATAGAAGTCTTTGTTAATATATAATAATGTTTCTTTTTTTCAACAAAAATTTAATAGAAAACACTGAACGAAATAATGTTTTCTGTTAATTAACATACACTTTATTTCCTTGCGAGTTTCCTTGATTCAAAAGTATTGAGGTATTGAATTTATTCAGTGTATTAACACAGTCGGCAAGTCTTCGTCCCTTTGTTGTCAATATGTGTAATATCTACATTCAAACTAAGGTTTGCTTTTGTAGTAATGTACACAGCAATAAAGTATAATAACTTGCCACCATATGTCTTTCCATCCAATTACAATCTGTGTCTTCAGAGCAAGAGTAAATAGGCTTTTGTCGTCCTATGATCTAAGTCTGCGATTTACCATAATCACAACCAGATAGGATTGTAGTCAAGCACCGGCTTATAATAAGTAAAAAAATCTCAAGAGCGGCATGCAACATAAAAAACCTAAAAGAAATTTTTACTTGGTAGAGCCATTCTGCAGCTCTAATGAGGACTAATAATCTTCCACTCACCAGATGTTGCTAGTTGACACTGAGGTGAAATTTACTGTTACACAATTTCATTTAATGAAGAAGTAGTTTATAAAAGTTTATCAGTTTCTAGAGTATTATATTATTACACAAAACAATGCCTCAGTGGTTTGCTTTCTAATTTTTTGCACTTATTTAAGTATTTTTTTAATTTATCTACCTTTATGAATATATGTTGTTTGATTTATTTTTAATCTAATTAATATAAAATGTAACAAAGTACGGAAAGAAACATTAATCTTTACATTTTTCGAACAAATTAACTTCCCCACTATGAAATCTGTCAAATATTAGACCTCATTTTTGAGTGGTGCTGTCCTGGTGGCACAAGAAGTGGATTTCAAAATGCTCTCATTAGTTGTAGCACAAATGGGTCAATGGCTCGATTGGGGAAAGACCACTCTATTACAGAATAGCAGCCCAATCCTGCTGTGTTTTAAATGGTGAGTGTAAAGACCACTTCTTTAGAACCTTTTTACTGGAAACAAGCATTCCATCTTAATACTCAGGGATGACATTGCATCTGCATTTTGATTCTTAATCGGGGGTAGATGTAGATGTTTATGGGTGACAATATCAATTTGCCATTGTACTGTGTCCGCGTTTGTCACCCAAAAATAAATAAAAAGAACCGTCTAAGTGCAAGTCGAACTCGCGCATGAAGGGTTCCGTACCATCGTAAAACAATAGTAGGAAAGTTCCCTTTAATTACCCCCCACCCCAGCCTGCAAAATAATGATATTTGTAATAAAAAAAATACTAGTCGACGTATTTTTAATAGCACATTACGATTATACTTGTATTTCTAATTGCACACTCCAATTTTTTATAAACAATCAAAAAGTAAATTATGGTTTTTACTAGTACTGCAATATCGATATCTCCGTAAATAAAGTTTTTTTCTAATTGCACAGAGTGCCAATAAATTGCACATATCTCGATTGTAATTGCACAATAACGTATTGTTATTGCACATACTTATTTAGTTACAAAAATTAATAATTAAGTAAAACTAACGGTCGCCGCCAATATGCGCTATACGCAGCAGACGACGGGCATACCATAGTGCATACCATCGATGAAAACGGGCCATAAGTCGTTCTGTTTTTTAACCACAACACGTTTCAATCCATTTCAGAATATTTGATTTTAAGGAAATGAAAAGCAGTATGTATTTTTTTTTGTTATATAACAAGTATACTTATGCCAGGCTTTTTTTCAATTATTTGCAGATGTTGCTGTCTAGAAGACTTCTCAAATTTTTTCAATTGACTGCGGTGCAAAAGGTTAATCCTAACACATACAGCTTTGAAGAGGAGTCTCTCGAGGCTATGATATTGAAGGAACTTTTGGTAATCCGTGACCATGCCGATAAAGTCTGTTTGAAGGAACTGCATCCCAGCAACAGTCGACTAGTCATGGTCTTATCTCGATCCAAAGTTTGATCAACATATCTCTGATGATTGCATGTTTAGGACAACAAGCCATCAGTGGTCATCGTGTAATGGATTCGAGGACAGAGCTCTACCACACTTTGAAAAGTACTCTAAAGTTCCTGCTGCAAAAGGTTTTGTTGAGAATTCCGTTGACTCCGGTCTGACCCCAACTGAATTTTTCTTTCATACCATGAGTGGTTTCTCTACCAGTCTGGTGGATACTGATGTGAAAACACGTGTGAATAAATTCTGCCAACTGAGAAACTGTCAAGCGCTCAACGTATCTGTAGACTGGATGGTTATTATTTGATTTGATGTGCTGTCTGACTCGGGAAATTTTTATGGCAACTGCTTTCATCATCTAGACTTGACGTCATCAAGGACACTTTTGTGATCAACATGACAATCTTTGTCTTCCATGTAAGTTGGGTCCATGGCATCTCCACCATAGAGAACCTGAACAATGTCTCTTATAGAATTTCTAGAGTTTTACTTAATTATTAATTTTTGTAACTAAATAAGTATGTGCAATAACAATACGTTATTGTGCAATTACAATCGAGATATGTGCAATTTATTGGCACTCTGTGCAATTAGAAAAAAACTTTATTTACGGAGATATCGATATTGCAGTACTAGTAAAAACCATAATTTACTTTTTGATTTTTTATAAAAAATTGGAGAGTGTGCAATTACAAATACAAGTATAATCGTAATGTGCTATTAAAAATACGTCGACTAGTTTTTTTTTTTATTACAAATATCATTATTTTGCAGGCTGGGGGGGGGGGGGGTCCTTTAATTTGAATAATATAGTATAGTAATAATAGAACCCTAAAGAGAAATTTTGGTTGAGATATGAAATATTTTAGTTCTATCAGTTCCGTTTGAGTCAGTTTTGCAGCACATTGAATATGGAGTTAGAATGCATTCAAGTTCAAGAAGTTTACGGGAGACAATATCTTAAATTAACAAAATTCACATCAGAAAAGGCTGTATCGGCGTTAATCCCTTTGCCTTAGAATATTAAAAAAATATAAGATCTATTTCTTTCATAGTATTTATTAAAAATTGTATTTGAAAATAATCAGATTTTTATCACCACTTCGTATTCGTATTTAAAATTTTAAATATGGCATCAAAAGATCGTGACGAACCGGTTATGTTAGCTCATGAAAGTTTTTTGAAACAGGATTATCCGTCTGCATTACAGCACTTAAGTGAATTAGAAGTTCTGGTTGGCAGCAATAACAGCAATCTTGTCAAAAGGGTGCAGCATAACAAAGCAGTTGTGGAATTTTATTCTACTGATTTAAAGGATATAGACAAATTTAAAAAGGCTATTACACAGTTTACAGGCTTAACATTTCCAGATGTGGAAATAAAGGACTTCAATATACCTTTTGTATTATACAATTATGCTGTGCTTCTTTATCATTCGCGATATTATTACCAGTGCACAGTTATTTTAGAGAAGTTGTTATCCTCAAAAAGTATCAAAGATGTTAAATTACATCAACATATTGTACTTTTACTAATGGAAGCTACTCTTTGTCGGCGTACTTATGACAAAACATTAGATGTTGCAAAGGATCATGGAGAATCTTTATTATCAAATAACGAAGTGTGTGAACTCTATGAGAGGCTTACTAGCAGAGCACAATTATTTTTAGGGCAAAAAATAAAATTAAAACCTGACACAATTGAAAATATTTTTATTATCGCACAGCAGCAATATATTAATGGTGATGTAAAAGAAGCTGCAAACACACTAGGTCAATATAAGACTTTGAAATTTAATTATGATTTAAAAAGTCAAGGTGAAGACATTTGGGCAGCAATTAACAATAACCTTGGTGTTATATATTTATCAATCAAGAAACCATTTTTAGCATCAAAGTATTTTCAACATGCTGTAAAAGAACACTTCAGAGCCATGGAAAATGAAGATAGTGAAAGATTAATAGTTTGCAAAGATAGACCATTGTATGTGTACAATTTAGGACTAGCCCTTCTTGCAACCAATAATTCCGAAGGTGCTTTTGAATGCCTTGTAGAAGCTGCTCGACATTATCCAAATAATCCTCGTATTTGGTTACGCTTAGCCGAGTGCTGTGTAAAGAAATGTTGCAATGAAGAGGTGCAACAATTCACTGTTAAAAAATTAGGGAGTGGACCTCATACAAGAATTTTGTTAGCAAAGGAAAAGCATGAAAAATATTCAACGTCTGGTGAATCCTTTGCTATTCCATCTCTGTCATTAGAATTTGCAGCACTCTGTCTGAGAAATGCCATTACATTACTTCCTAACCAAGATGTACCCTCTGATATAACAGCCCCACTTATACAAGCGCCGCCAGGGCCCCCAATTAATTGGAAGCAGCGGTGCGAATTAAAAAACGCAACACTAGTTCTTCAGAGTTATGTACTATTAAATTTGCAAGACCCTCTATCAGCATTACTAAGTGCTAATGAATTGTTAAGTCAAGCAGATGTTTCTAGTAGTCACAAAGCTTGGGCTCACATTTATGCAGCTGAAGCACTTATAAACCTAGACAGAATAACAGATGCAGTAGAACATTTGCATCCTCCCATGATACATGACCTTGTGTCTGTACTTCCATATCAAATGCGTGATTTGATAGCTGTTTCAGTTTGGGCTAAAGCAGCAGTATGTCACATTCTCAGAGGGGATTTGGTTACAGCAAGAAAGATATTATTACAAATTAATTCACCACGAGTTTTGCCTCTGCAAATGTACCTCGAGATTTGTACAGGCAATATTGAAAATTGCCATACTATCTTAAGAAAGCTTAGATTTACTAATTTATCTTAATAATTTTTACTTATTTAATAATTAAATAATTTACTTTAAAACATGTTTTGTGTTTTGTTAAGAAAATGTTTACTTTTCTTGAAATATGACCAAGGTTGAAGTCGACAAGGTTAATAGGAAGTCATAAGATGATCAAATACAGTGATCACAAGTCAAAATACTTCATGCAAGCCATAAAGTCCTAATAAATTAAATTATTAAAAATTTCGGGTAAGGTTTGAAAATTAGTCTTCTTAATTGGGGGTGGTGAGGGGGGAAGGAAGGGGACCTTTAGAGTCGCCCCCCACTTCCCTTTCCTGCCGAACGTGCTTAGTATTTTTTTTATAAATTTTTAAAAATCTCAATTTGAGGTTCCGTTTTCGTAATATTTTGACAATATAAACCTGATTTATGGGGGGAGATTTATTAGCACAGCCGCACGGGGGTAGTGGTGCTAGCGGAATCATGATGTGGGAGTAGCATGAGCGAGAATGCACTCACCGTACGGGGACGGTGAGCACGGTCTGCTAGCACAACCGAACCGAACCAACTCGAACTAGAACGAGAGTGGCGGCGCTAGCTGAGGCGGAAAGGCGCTCACCGTACGGGGATGGTGAGCGCGGACAGCTAACACAACCGCACGAGGGCGGCGGCGCTAGCTGAGGCGTGATGGCACTCACCGTACGGGGACGGTGAGCGTGGACAGCTAACACAACCGAACGAGGGTGGCGGTGCTAGCTGAGGCGGAAAGGCGCTCACCGTATGGGGATGGTGAGCGCGGACAGCTAACACAAACGCACGAGAGCGGCGGCGCTAGCTGAGGCGTGATGACACTCACCGTACGGGGACGGTGAGCGTGGACAGCTAACACAACCGCACGGGGGCGGCGGCGCTTCCTGTATATTCTTATTATACTCTTTGGACGGCGCCAGCGGAATTACGCAAAGTCACTGACCTCTATATATATATATATACGCTGGACTGGCTATGCCATACAAAATGCTTATGCCGATTTGAAGCGCCCTCATTGTCCGTACCGGGAACTAAAATTGACATAATATGTAGTATTTGGAATTTTTAAACTAAAAAATGAAAGTATTTTTATGTGGTTTCATTATGTCTGATTTTAGTTACATAATAAGAATTGTTTTTGGTCACAATGAGAGTGTGCGTAATATGTAAAACTCGTTACCAAAAGGAAATTGGGATAACATTCCACAAGTAAGTGAATTTACAGGTAATATTAAGCAAATTAAAACTATTTGATCATATAGGTACTTAAAATTTGTTACTAATCTTAACATCGTAATTACCAACACGTTTGGCTTTATATTACTGAGTTTTGATAAAGAATAAAATTCAATAGGTTTGTCGAGTTCCTTGTCTACAGTACTTATCGATGTTCTTTTCTACCCATATCTGTTTACAACTAAAGGCGCCGACAACAGATCATTATCAAATGTTTATTAATTAACAGGTTTCCAACTGAACCTAGACTAAAATTATGTGAATTGGCGTCCGAAACAAAATGATTATCTTTGTTCTAAACACTTAACAGACGACTGTTTTATTGGACATAAGAAACGCATCACGGTGAAAAAGTGCAGTGTGTGCAGGGGGGAAAACGCGCACACGGCTCGCCTGATGGTAAGAGCCATGCTGCAGCTATATTAGTAGTATAGTTGTAGCACGAATGGGTTGGCTCGACCGGGGAAGGACCATGCTCTCACAGAATACCAGCTTAAAATAGCAGCTTAACGCTGCTGTGTTTCGTATGGTGAGTATAGAGAACCGGAGACCCTTTTTACTGGAAATGAGGCATTCCATCTTAGTCCTCACGGGTGACAATGCATCTGCATTTTGATTTGTAATAGAGGAGAGATGTAGATGTCTATGCGCCGCAGCAACCACTTACCTTCAGGTGGACTGTGTGCTCGTTTGTTACCCTTTTCCTATAAAAAAAGTGATTATCGCCGCCCATGAACAACTGCAACATCAGGGGAATTGCTGATGCTTTGTCAGCCTTTTTAAAAGGAGTACGCTCTTTGATACTGATTGAAATTGATACATTTATTTATTGTATGGCATTATATTAATATGATTATGATAATATGATAAATAGAATGGAAGTTACGGGTAGGCCTGGGTATAGAATTCTTATCGATATATTTTTCACAGTCTTATCTCTATTATTAGTTCCGTGGACGTTCCCTTCTGCTGTCAGCGCCAAAATGGCGAAAATCAAATCGCCTCATTATGTCACGGTGTATAGCTGGTCCATAAATAAAGGTCAGTGCGTAAAGTATATCTGTCACTGTCAACAAAATGGCCGGCCTAGCCACTGACTTAGAAGTATATGGACTGGGCATACCTACAGAATTAGCATGACTACCTCAACAAATCTGGCGCATAAAATATGCAGTCTCCATAGGTATATATTTCTATGGGCCTAGCGAACCATTTTACGCTTTTATCATTTTTCAGATGACTTTATTTCTATCTTCAAATCTCATGGGGGTGTTTCAGATAAACCCCCTTGACCCCCCACAGTGACAGAATCCCCAAATTCAGGCGACTTAATTTCAAACCCAACCCAAATTTTCTATTAAAAAATTTATTACACCAAACATAAACTGATTATTAGATAACATTTAAATTTTCACGCGCTTTATACTTTCTTCAAACCATATGGTCAAATGTCAATTAATGTACAAATGACGCGCAAACTCAACGAATCGTGGCGTACTCAACCATCTCGCTTGCACTCGTTAAATCTATATGAGGTTATCGCATTATTGTAGTAAGTTAAATTTATAAAGAAAAGATCACAACTACAAAAATCACAACTCACAATTAAATCTACTTAAATTCATCCAGTATATTTCTGCTAAATCGTCCTTAGCCATATTATGGGTTTCATAGGGAATAATAACTGTACCTACACATGTAAACAGTAGAAATCAGTTACCTCTTTGAAAAATTTTATTTTGTTTTTCTATCATTCATCACGGAACGTACCTACACAGAGGTCAGGGCACTGCTACGATAGTATAAATACCGCGGTACGACTGAGGTCTGTCTCTTCTGGTCTTGCTCCACAAGAACTACCAATGAATCGATTACGAACATGTTATCCATTTTCCTCTCTACTGTTTCAAAATATTATCAATCTTTCATTAATTAATTATAGCCTATCAAAAGTCCTCTGCTCAACATGGGCCTCATAGGGGAATTGCCATAGTTCCCTCTCTTAGCAAAGTAAGTTAAAAAACCGCAATTTAAAAGTGAAAACTTCTTTAGAATCGTTGCGAAAAAGAGACACACATACACATCTATAGGATTTTGCCTGCGAGAGTTAACATTACTTCAAAATTTCGAAATATTTTCATCTAAGCAGATATAATTTTCTGGGTGGTTTTACTTTTCGCTAATCACCATATAAATTGAGATTACAAATGGGATTCAACTCGCTTATGTACCGTGTAGACTTAATATTCATACCTAACTAACTGTTAGTTTTTGAAGTTTGCGACACTAAATATTTGCAATGTAATATAATCATTATCCTATCTTTTTAACTTCTGCGAGTCCTATGATGTCCCATTTTATTTTTTCTATTGCATTATTTAGTTTTAAAGTTCTTTCTTTTGCTGATAGGGATCTCACATTGAATGTGCATATTTTAAGGCCATGTTCTCTTCTTGATTTTAAACTCTTGCTTTTGTTTGCGTCTTCACCGAAAAAGTAAAAAACAAAATTTTAATCTTGTCAACATGCAATGGAACGTAGTATACTGAAACTGAGAAAAATACAAAAAACGAGAAATGCAGACATCCGCATGAAAACAAAATTAACAGATGCTCTTAATTTTAGTTTGAAACAGAAATGGAACTGGGCAGGGTACTTGTTGAGATACAAAGATAAGAGATGGACTTACCAAACAACTAAATGGCAGGGCCCAAAAGGCAAAAGAAACGTAGGAAGACAGAAGAAAAGATGGTCCGATGACATAATAAACACAGCAGGAAAAAGTTGGATGCATACGGGCAAAGACAGGGAAAGATGGAAAAGCATGGAGGAGGCTTTTACCCACAGAGGGGCCACATAACAAAAAAATGGGAAGGAAATTATTATAATAAGATATAATATATTTGTAAGAATTGTTAAGTGGAAAATAAAGCTGTAATAATAATAATAAATAATCATCATCACTTGATTTCGAAAACAATTCACTTGATTGCTCGAATAATAATAAATCCATTGAGCTATTATGTACTACGCACGTAAGTACATATTACTTCAATGAACAAATCTAGTCTTAATTTCTTTATATTTTTTGATATATAATAAATTAATAAAAAAATAAACAAAAACCAGTGTGTCGATGTCGATTGTTGCTAAGATTGAGAACAAAATCACTAAACCCAAAGATGAAAGACGTCATGTCTTGTGAAATAATGTCACACATAATACCTACTACTACAATAGAGATTAGAAATGCATTTATTCCGGTAAATCAAACGAGGCGAGTGTACTTATTCTCATCTTTGGTATAGTTAAAAGAGACTAAAGATAGCCACTTATCATTCAAGTTTGACGCATATATTACACACAACATCCTTTAATAGTCCTTCTCTCTTTTTGCCTGATTTGAAAAAAAAAGACTACTCAATTTATGTAGAATTAGCTGATACCCGCGACTTTGTCCGCGTTTCTTGATATTTCGTATGTGCAAAGGAAAAAACATCAAAAAGACAAATTTTCTTTGTAAACAATGTTATGCGCTGCTCTATTTGTAGGTAATTTAGAGCAAGCGAATTACAGTTGGTCGTGTGAAAAAACTCGTATAAAAATCGTTGTTCATTAAAACTTTAATAACTTTATATTAAATGAAGATATCGCAATATTTTTTTTTAGATAAGGCTAAAGTGTCTAAGAAATAAAACCTCGAAAACCTCATTGAAATATATCCAGTAGTTTTTCTGTGATGCGCGCACAACTGCAAACCTCTATCATTTTAT